TGGTATGTGTATTATGCTTCATCAAGGTCATTCAAACCACAAGATATCAATTAATTAATTTTTTTTATTTTTATTTGAATTTTAAGGATTTAAAATGAATTAAATCAATAAAATTAAATAAAAATAGAAAAATTAATGTTTAATCTTGAAATTAATCATGGGACACGTGGGTGGCATGACAAGGCTGAACCAAGTGGAAAAAGTGGGCCCTTTTGTCAAAAAATGAAGTTTCAAGGATAGTTGACTTTTGCCATTTCACAAAAATTTCCCAACTTCTCCAATGCATATCTTGCTCAATTTTGATCATATGAACATGTTCTTTGACATTTTGGAAAGGTCTTGAAGTCCTCTAACCAATGCCTTTGGTCCCATGTCATTTGAATTTACCAATCACAAGTTATGGTCTTTTACTTAAAGTGTCTTTTTGTTGACTTTTGAAAATGACCTATAATATTGAAATTGATAACTTTTTGTGAGAGCATTTCTTGGATTTAGAATGTGAAGATGAGTTTTAGGAAATGTCCTCCCCTTCAAAATGAGCATTGGATGGGATTTTTCTGATGAACCATGAAAAAGTTATGCCTTGGTCAAGTTACAGTTGACTTTTCAACTGTCCAAAAATAGAAACTTTTGCATCTTGATGATTTTTGAGCCATTCTTGTGAAATCATGGTCAAGATTTGACCAAATGATGATTGTGGCTTCAAAATAAGATGTTGACCAAAATTTTTGACTTTTGACTGCCAAATGACCATTTTGCCCCTACAGTTGATTGTGAGGCAATTAGGGTTTTTGACTGTGTAACTTGACCTTGTGAGCTTTGAAACTTGGCATGTAGATACTGGACAATGTGTATGAGCATATGGGACTTGATTAAGCCCTTGAAAACCTCAACTTCCTTGCAGGAACCAAAACCCTAATTTTGACTGGCTTAGGAGGATGGTTTGACTGTGCAGCCCTTGAGTAGACCTGAGATGATGCTTGCCAAAACTTTGAAGAATATGGGAGGGCAAATTTTGGGGTACAACATGAATAAACCAACCAGTTTATCTCCTTCACTTAAGACCTACCCAATGCAATTTCAATCTAAGATCAACTTAAACCTGAGTTCCTGCTCACTCCCCCTCAATCACAGCAGTGATACTAAACTATTGATTAATGAAATTATGAAGATACTCTTCAGTACACACACTTGATTTTGCTTCACAACTTTAATCAAGTGACAAACACTCTTGCTTCAAAGCTTTGAGTGATACACAACCCTAACTTGACTTTGCTTCAAAGCTTTAATCAAGTGACACAAACACTCGTGCTTCAAAGCTTTGAGTGATACACTACCCTTACAATCAGATCCTACTCCAAGTCACTTATCACAATGATAATTGCTTGGATCACAGTAGTTACAACTATACAATCCCTTATTGATCTTCTGTCAAAAAGTGTGCTTCACCAACAGTCTTCATGAGGAATATATAGGCAGCTATTCTTCAGTTAGGGCTTCCATGAAAATAGTTAGGGTTAGTTAGGGTTAACCTCAAGACTTGGTCACAGGTCTTTAACAACCAAATTAGGGTTAAGAAGAGTTAACCTAATGTCCACGTGAGAATCTGATCTGGACTGTATAAACCAGATTCTTGAAAATTCTCAGGAATAACAAATCTGCACAAATGTTAGATCAATACATGATGTCTTAATATTGGTTATGACAACAAGAATCATGTTTACTGATTTTGGTAGAATGTAATAAATATGATCATTGCTTAATGATCAGCTAAACACTCATATTGAGTAGCTCCTGTATGACATTCTTTTTCTGCAGAATGTACCTTGTATTCCAGAATGTTATGACATCAGTCATGACATTCACACAACTGGTTTTACCAAAAAAAATGCCAACAACCAAACACTTACACTTGTGAGACGAAAAAAGAAGTTTGTTGTTGAGAGATTTGAGTTTTCAAAATTTTGTTATGGGTATTAATGCTTTCAACCTTGGTATTTCATAAGTGCCAAAATGTTGTGATTTTGTATAGTAATTTGTGGTACTTATTGACTTTGTTCTTTTAGTTTTTATAATAAAACCCATACTTTTATGTACATAATCGTTTAGTTTGCGTATTATTGTGTTTTTGAGTCATTTGTGTACGGTTTGATAATTTTTCATTCATTTTGTAGGTATTGGTGCATGTTTGGAACATTGATCAATAAAGTGTCGAAGGCACAACTCCGAATGCTTGTTTTCAGGAATAAAAGTCCAGTGGGAGCCCGTTAAGTGCATCCTCTAGAGCAGTACCACAATTTTAAGCATTTTGGCAGAGGTGTAGCTTTCTGAGCCTGCTAAGCACGATTAGCCTGCTTAGTGGGATTTAGGCGGTTTAATGTGTAACTTAAGTGAAGTCGCGCTTAGCGCGCCAGGCCCGCTTAGCGCGGTCTGTTGATTTCAGTTTTATAAAAACAAATTCTTTCATTTGTAAGGGTTATATTTTGGGGTATTTGTTCTCAATTCATCAACATTCAATCTTTGTAGTTTAGAGCTTAGAAAACAACATTTGTGGCTTGTAATCGGATGATCCGGGACCGGGAGCTTGGTTGATCGTGATTGACACCACCAGATTTGGGTTCTTCTCTTTACAAACTTTATTTGTTGGGGTTTTGTTTGTAAGTATGCCTTGTTTATATGTATATTTATTACTCATGGTGTTGTATGAAGCTTTCTTTACAAATCAATGTTGGTGATTGCTTACTTTATTTGGGTTTGAGTTGTTGAAGACATGTACGGTTCAAATATGGATTTAGAATGAACATCTATTAGGTTCTAGATTCTAGAAATATATTTAGACTTAATATTCATGTGGATATCAGTTTTTAATGCCTCCATGTTGTTTGAGTTGCGCGAGACATCGCCTCCGAGAGCAATATAGTTGATATTTCACTCTACGTTAGAGATAACCTCTGTGTGAGAGATACGTGATGATGTTAACGAGTGGTTTAAATTAAGTGCAACTGAGTAGTAAGTTAAAGTATTTAATGAGTACGTGCGTAATGCTAAACCTGTGCATGCACCACTACCTGGTCATCTGAAACTCAGTAAGACACAATATCCAAGCACAATGAAGAAGAAAAAGAAGAAATGAGCAAGGTGCCCTATTCTTCAGTTGTGGGTAGCATTATGTACGCAATGGTTTGCACAACATCAAACATTGCTTATGTTATATGAGTTGTGAGTAGATTCCTATCGAATCCAAGAAAGGAGCATTGGAATTTTGTGAAATGGATACTGAGGTATCTAAGAGGAACTGCCAAACAATGTTTGTGCTTTGGTAGTGAAAAGCAATTAGTCATTGGATATGTAGATGCAGATATGAGAAGAGATATAGATTCAAGAAAATCTACATCCAGATATTTGATTACTTTGGCTGGGGAGTTGTCTCATGGCAATCACGATTACAAAAGTGAATTGCCTTGAGTACCACAGAAGTTGAATACATCGCAATCACGGAAGGTTGTAAGGAGATCTTGTGGATGAAGAAGTTCCTGCAAGACTTAGGTCAGAATCAAAAAAGTTATGTTCTCTATTGCGACAGCCAGAGCGCAATTCATCTTAGCAAGAACTTGACATACCATTCAAGGTCAAAACACATTGACGTAAGGTATCATTGAATTCGTGATGTATTGGAGACTAAACTGTTGAAAGTTGAGAAAGTTCACACCAATGAGAATGAGGCAGACATGATGACAAGATCTCTACCAAAATAGAAGTCAGAGTTTTGCAAACAAGCTGCTGGATTGGCAGCAAATCCAAACTAATCAAGATCATTCCCCTATAACTGAAAGGGAAGAAAACACATTCAAGGTCAAAACACATTGACGTAAGGTATCATTGAATTCATGATGTGTTGGAGAATAAACTGTTGAAAGTTGAGAAAATTCACACCAATGAGAATGAGGCAGACATGATGACAAAATCTCTACCAAAATAGAAGACAGAGTTTTGCAAACAAGTTGCTGGATTGGCAGCAACTCCAAACTAATCAAGATCATTCCCCTATAATTGAAAGGGGAGAAATCTGGAGTCTAACCATTGCCACATTGCCAACATACATTTGACAAAATGAAAAATTACATGTGATGACAAGTAGCAAGGTTTATTGTGTACACTTATTATGATGTATGTTTTGCAATGGACATTTGTTATGATGCATGCATTGCAAATAATACTTAGTGTTTTGTATGAAAGACAAAAGAACCCGTGTCTTTTGTCTTCCATGTCACCGAGTATTATTTGCAAAACATGCATTATAACAAATATTATTTGCAAAATATATACTATAAAAAATATATACCATAAATCTTACTATTTCTCATCATCACATGCAACCTTCCATTTTGTCAAACATATGTTGGCAATAACCCCACCAATTTGTGAAAGATTTATTTATTTAATTTGTTCATACAGAATGTATGAAAATGGCTCACAGAGTGAAGAAGTTTCGGTACATTATGATACTATGATAATGATACTAACTGTAGTAGTAGTAAATGTGCGGGCCCCACAAGCCTAGTCGGTAGTTCAAGTTCTTCGTTAGCCATGTGATAATTCTCACTCCAATCAATTCATATTCAACATAGCCCTTCCTCTCCATTATTTTATTTTTTCAACTTAAGATTGACTAATCACTCTGGCTACCCATTTATGCAACACATGCTCATACTACTTTGGCAGCACACACTTCCACTCAAAATCGGTTTCACTACCCCCATAAACTAACAAGCTCAAAAGTCCTCGGTATAAAATTCTTCACTACTCTATTACCCTCTCCCTTCATCAGATCTTCCGGAGCCTAGATCTTGAAAGAAGCCAAATTACCCTGCCTTTCCCCAATGGCTCATCTAATGTACTTGTACTCCACAAAGGTACTCTTACTCTCCCTTCTGTTGTTTCTTTTGGTCTCTCTTTCCTCCTGTTCTTGGTGGTCTGAACCTCAACTCCATAGAAGAACAATGCTAGAGGACCAAAAACAACACCAAAGTGACAAGAAAACTACCCTCCAATCCACAAAAAATCAAACCAACCTAATCAACTCCAATAGTTTCACTTCCAAAAACAATACCAAAACCATCAAGTCCAATAACCTTAATTCCTCCAAAAACCAAACCAAAACCATCAAAGCCAACAACCTTAATTCTTCCAAAAACCAAACTATAAAATCCCTTGACACTTTCACCAAAACAATCAAACCCAATAACCTTAATCCCTCCAAAAACAAAACCAATGTTACCTCCAAAAATGCACCATCCAAATCCACACCACCCAACACTAATACCCTCAAGAAGCTCAATTCCACCGGCACCACCGGCACCAAGTCCAAGAAGCTGAACTCCACGTCCATATCAACCAAAAAGCCATTAGATCTCGTGAAAACAACTAACAAACCCACAAAATCCACCACCACCGACAAAAACAAGCCACCAAAAACTCAAACTCACAACACAACCAAAAAACCAAAGACACAAACACCACCTAGTCGCACATTAGAAGAACAAGAAGACGAAGAAGATGACGATTTCGCTTCATTCTCAGAGTTCAAAGATCTCCCAAACAAATTTCACCGCACACTACTCCCAGACATAGAACGAATCTCAACAACCTCCAAAGCCTACATAACAAACGCCAACAACGAAATGACAAAAGGATTCAAACCCTACGTTGGCAAAAAATACGCACCCACCATAGCCGCCATAGTTTCCACCGCTTTCGTACTACTCCCACTCCTCTTAGTCTCTCTCCTTTTCAACAAAATCAAAACCTATTTCTCACTTCAAAAAATCCTAATCTTCATCCAAATCTACCTCTCAATCTACTTCACCATTCTCTGTATCTCAACATTGGTCTCTGGAACCGAACCATTGAGGTTTCTATTCTCTACTTCGCGGTCCACGTATATCTGTTTCCAAGTGCTTCAAACTCTCTGTTACGTTTTCTATCTACTGTTACTCATCATGTACCTTGTTCTTGTGTTTTTTACTGAATGTGGGCTTGGTTCAAAGTTTTTGGGCCTGGCTCAGATCTTTGTGGGCTTTTCTGTTGGGCTTCATTATTACGTGACGGTGTTCCATAGGGTGGTGCTGCGGCAACCGCCGAAGAGTAATTGGAAGATTCACGGGATTTATGCCACGTGTTTTTTGCTGATTTGTCTTTTTGTGATGGCTGATAGAAGGAAGAAAGCTTACGTGGAGGATGATGGAGAAGAAGGCAAGAAGAATTGAAGTGAATGTAATTTATTTATTTATTTATTTTTGTTTTAATTTGATTTAATTTAAAAAATAAATAAAGTTAAATAAAGCACAAAAATGAGTATTTTAATGTCTATTAATTTTGCTCAAATTGTTTGTATTTATTTATTTATTTTACCCAATATAGGATTTAGTTTAAATAAAGTATTTTGAATCTGTAGTTATTTTCTATCGTTACGTGTAATTAATATGACCACGCACCTTTCAGGAAAAATAAATACTTATAACACTGCGAAAAAATACATTTAATACAAAAAATGCAATAAAATAAAATACTAGAGTATGAGACTATGATCCAGTGAGAATAATGTAGGTGGAATTTGAAACATTTTATAAGAAGGTTATTATAGTAATTTCCGTTGACCACCGACAGTTTTCTTCACAATACACTGCTATACCACGTGGGCGCTGTCACGGAGTGGAAAAGCAGTTGAAATTTGAAAAGGTGTCTTCGGCCTTTTGAGACCGCGTGTCCGCAGACAGCTCCATCTGAGTTTTACTACAATTTTCAAAGGAAAGAAACCCTATGCGAATCAACCCTATGCCAATCCTGTGATCGAATTAGTACAATAGGAAGTGTGAATCGAATTAAATTAAATTGAAAATTATAAAAATAATATTTGATTCGAATTTGTTTAAATTATATTTTAACAAAATCATACGATTTGATTTATGATTTGTATTTTATAAAATAAAATAAATCGAATCAAACCGTATCGTGTTAATATATTTAATATTGTATGTGATACTTATAAATGTGTTTGAAAATAAAATGATATGTTTTTAAATCTTATTTGTTTCTTTTAAATCTTTTCATTTATTTTTAAGTATTAATCTCTTCGATTATGATATGTAAGGAGTTCTAATGGAGGATATTTGAATATTATGATTTTAATGGAAGAGTTTGATGTTGTTATGATTGAGTTTCTCGTAATAGGACGTGTTTTTGTCGCGATGAAAAAATCGAGGAGATCAAGCTATTGAGAAATTTGACTCACGGTAACTTAAGAAGTCACCACCAAACTTTATTGTTTTCAAGGACATTCAAACTCTAATTTTAACATGCAATGCAAGAAGTAAAGACAAAAAGCAAAGTATAAGGAATAGATATAAGATATGACGGAGGTTGGTTATACAAAGAAAAAGTATTATCACTTTATGTATTTATAGTATTCTATAGGAACCATTTATAATATATTTTTTTGGTTTAAAATTATTTGTTTGTTAAATGAGTGTGGAGATGGGAAAGAAGTATATTTTAGGATATTTTTGTTTGAAAAGACATAGTCTTATACCTACGTGTAACACGTAGCAAAAATATAGCGGTACAAATTTGAGACTAAGTCATTAATTGACTTAATTCATATCAGTGAAAGTCGTCACTGTATTTTATTGTTTCCAAATGAAAATGGGAAAAGAGCGAATAAAATCCAAAACAAAATAGAATAGAGATAAGGTACGGGAGTGGGTTATGCAAAGAGAGAGTATTAACATCCTAAGCATATACGGTACTCCGCAGGATCCACTTTATTTATTTTAATCAGAGAATGTGTTATATAAAGCTTAAACTTGCTAAAGGGAATGAAATGAATGAATATTTACAAACGAAAGAAATGTTTTTTATTATTGCGCTCGTCTTTGGTCGTGAGACCTAGTGCATACGTACTTCCTCGTGCAATGGAAAAGTCATAGCCCCGTAATTCTTCTAAAAAATAACAAAATTGTGTGATGATTGATTTTAAATAAAAATACAAATCATTATTTTTATGAGAGAAATCTCAACTAATCGCTCACAAGGTGTGAGAAAGATGGATCGTACGTCAACATGAGGAGGGTTTGGAAACACCTCTGACACTCAAGTGAAAAAGTCAACACCTTTAACCATGGGGATGTGAGGATGATATCTCGACTATAAATGAATCATGTCTAATCTTATAAAATATTTTAAAGGAAAAAGGTGTTCGAGCGCACAAAAAAAGTTTTGATGAGTTGAAGTATTTTGTTAACTTGAAAAAGGATTTGTGATTTGAATCACACAAGAGACTATGAATAGAATGAATGACAAGTTTCGGAAATGAATGAGATATGAAGTAAGTGTTTAATTAATTAATTAATCAAGAATTGATAAAATTAATTAATTAAATTAACAAAAATTAATTAACAAAACTAATTAATTTTTAATAATCAAATCTACTAACTAATATCAATATTTGATTAATTAACTAAAAGCAACAAAGCATGCAAAAATGATACCAAATAACAATTAAACAGTTAAATGATTACACAAAAATTAATTATGTTAATTGAAATTATTTAATAAAACTAACTTGATTATTATTAGCTTAATTAAATAAACTCAATTAATAAAATTAAGTACATTTAAAAAATGATAAAAATAAACTAGAACAAAAAATTAGCAACAATAGACAAAACAAGGTAATTGAAATAAAGAATGTAGCAAATAGTAATAGATGTAGAACAAGAATTTCTATTTGGACTTAAGAGATTGGGTGAGGCCCGTATGTTTTTTTTCTGTTCACTTACTGAAAAGAATAAAACACAATGGGGAGTCCACTGAATAAAATTGTTGGGCCTTGTGTTAGTGAAAAAATTAGTTTGGGCTTAGTAAACAAACAACATGGCCCAAAATAACATTGCTTTAGCAAATAAAATAAAATAATCACCTTCCGTCCCAAATTCCTCTTCCATCGCTAACTCCTTTTCATCATCTTAAGTTCATCATTTTTTGTTCTTTCTCGTCTGAACATCAATCATAACCCTCTATATTTTTTACGCAACAACAACAAATCCTTCACTCTGTGTTTCAATTTAAGCGATGGTAATAACATTTCGGTTCTCATGAACAACAATAACAAAATTGGTTGAAGCAACAACAAGCGTATAATTCAAAAACAAACAACAACAACTACCATGGTTGTTGGAATAATATAACAAGTGTGAGTAAGTGGGGAAATAGTCTCACATTGGATAGGAATGTGGAGACTTGATAATATATAAGTGGAAGAATCCACTCACCTATCACCTTAAGGTTTTAAGTGGATAAGTGGTGTGTCTCTCACAAAGGTGCATATTCCTACATTGTGCATCAATGCTCCTAGAAACTCCCCCCAACATGGTATCATGAGTCTTTGGTTCGAGAAGGGGACCGAAAGAGTGGGGGAGCATTGTTGACTCACACTTGAGGGGGAGTGTTGGAATAATATAGCAAGTGTGAGTAAGTGGAGAAATATTCCCACATTGAATAGGATTGTGGAGACTTAAGCATATATAAGTAGGAAAACCCACCCACCTATCACCTTAAGGTTTTAGGAGGATAAGTGGTGTGTCTCCCACAAAGGTGCATATTCCTACACTATGTATCGATGCTCCTAGTAAATCTAATCTCCCCAACATGGTATCATGAGCCTTTGGTTTGAGAAAAGGGATCGAAAGAGACTTGTATCGAAATACGCCCAGGAAGTGGTGTCCCGTTGCAAGATGTCAATGAAGGTACAAGTGGGGGGCATTGTGGATTTATACTTGAAGGGGAGTGTTGGAATAATATAGAAAGTGTGAGTAAGTGGAGAAATAGTCCCACATTGAATAGGAATGTGGAGACTTGATAATATATAAGTGGGAGAATCCACTCACCTATCACCTTAAGGTTTTAGGAGGATAAGTGGTGTGTCTCCCACAAAGGTGCATATTCTTACACTATGTATCGATGCTCCTAATAACTTCCCCCAGCAATGACTCCCACGATTGCAATCCATTCTAAAAAATAATCAATAATATGCAGAGAAATAATAGAAAATGAAATCTAGATTTGTGGCTTGAGGAAGATAAAGTACAGAAAACCAGAGATGAGGTAATATTGCTTTTTGTTGCTTTTTACTCTTCTTTTCCTTCTTCTGAAATTCTTGAACTCTTATCGTGCTGAAATTATTGCTGCTGAGCAAAATTAAAGTTCGACTTCGAATGCTGCAGACGAGAGATAATAGAGGTTGTCATGGAATTGTTATGAGTACGTCGAACTGCTGCGAGTTTGAAGTAGAATAGTTGGTTTTGTTTTTTGGTTTAGCAACTTGAAGCTAGAGGAAGATTTTTTGAAAATTTGGCAAACTTTGTTACTCACATTTTCTTTTTTATGAAAATCTGTATTTATAGTGAATGAATGTGAGAATTTGGTGAAATTTGTGTGGAAAATTGAAGAGGAAATTTGAATTTCGGATGAAAATTTGATGAGTTTGGAGTGATTTTTGCCATCGATCAGTGCCATGTGGTTTGCAACAACTATAGCCCTTGATTATTTTTCATGTACGGTCAGGACTCATTGCACTTGTGACTTGTTTTTTTAGTTTGAAAGAAAAGTGTGAAAATTGGTTTTTGTATGAACTTTGTGCTCTTAAACTTGCTGTAAGTGTGAATTCACGTTTGAGGGTCCCAACTTGCTGATTCTCTCTATTTCCCTATCTTCACAAAATAAAAACAAGGGTGAAATAAGTTTTTGCTCCCTCTAAATATCTCAAATTTTGTTTTTAATCCCTCTAAAAATTTTCTTCAAAAAACGGTCATTCTAAAAGTTTAAATTTTAACTTTTGGTCTCATGACAAAATCATAGCTAAAATGGTCTCTAATTTTGTTGCTAAATAAAAATTGTCGCTAAAATCGTCACTAAGTTATAAAAACCATCGATAAAATTGTTGTTAAGTTGTAAAAGCCGTCGTTAAATTACAGAAGGAAACAAAAGTTAAAATTTAATTTTGTAGGATGACCATTCTTTGAGGAAAAATTTAAAGGGACTAAAAATGAAGTTTGAAATATTTAGAAGGACCAAAAATTTATTTAATCATAAAAACAAATAATATAGTAATAACAATAATAAGAAAAAAAATAAAATGTTAGTAACAATTAATAATTAACAAAAATAATAATAATAATAGCAATACTAATGAAAAATCAATTGATTAGTA